CTTCAGTTATAAAGTTTTTATAATAACAAACAAACGTTTTTAGAGAAAAGTTTTTAAACCATTCAATAAGATGAATGTTATAAATAAGATGAATGCATTAAAATGGTTTTTTATCTTGGCATAAGTGTCTAATAGACAAAATATTTCATTTGTAAGACATTTACTTTGAATTAATATCATTTATGATGTTTGATAACTAAATTGATCTTTGCATGTGTTATTTTTTGACAGATCGAAGCAAAATAACTTCTTCGGTACCCACAACGACAAAAGAGAAAGAGAACATGTTTTTTGTCATAAAAAGACAGGTGGATCTCGTGAATCATGGAAATCCTCAAAAAAAGTTGTTTTGAACTGACACACGCATGACTTTACTTGTTTAGTGCCTAAAAGGTGATAAATAGCTTCCTTGATCAGATAAGAAGTGACAATTTGGTGAAATATATTTAATACAAATAATTAATGCACCAATAGACACTTCTCTTCACAAAGAACAAAAAATTAAAGACAAGTGAAACAAACTTGTAAGAGATGCTCAAGGATTTGCAATGATCATCTTCATTGAAGCCTTATAAAAGGAAGTTTGAAATATAGAAAGAAAGTGAGATCAATTATTGTAAAAATTATATTAATTGTTTCTGTAAAAAAACTCTTCACTACTCAATTGGACGTCTTGATAGTAAGATGAAACAACAATGTTAATTTACCTAGTTTTAATTTTGTGTTATTGCTTTGAGCTTGAAAAGGTTAGTTTGTTAAAGAATACTCGTGTATTTTGAGCCTAAAAGGGTTCGACTGTAAAAGAATACTTGGGTATTTGAAGCCTATAGAGGTTTTTTTCTAAAGAATACTTAGGTAGTTACTTGAAAAACAAGTCAAAGAATAGTTAGGTTAAGTCAAAAGTGATTTGTGAAAGAATAATTGTATCTTTGCAAAGATAGTAAAACTTGATCAAGTTTGATAAAAAAAATTAGACATAGTCTCGGTGGTTGAGATGAATCAACATAAAATATTTTGTGTTTTTTTTATTAACTCTTAGTCTATAGTCCTAACGTGTTTCATACTAATTCACTGATTCAAAAAAGTGAGTTTTAGATAGATATTATTCAACCTCCCGTCTTTCGTTTCTCTACAATAATGTTATCCTCCCTTATTTTATCATGTTGATGTAGTATTTTTTTTTTTTATCATGAAGGAGAGTTGGTTAGGAAGCAACATGATAGGATAAACTTCTCTTTCTTCTCAATATATATTATCTCATATAATGTATATATTATACAAAATAATAAAATATATACAATATTAACTTATAAAATATATAGCAATATATATCATATAATATTACTTTTATATCAATATATAATATTATATTGTATATTATAATTTATATATTAATTTATATAATATACATTATAAATCTACTTTTAACATTTTATTTTATATATAATTATAATAATTTTGACATGTAAATTTAAAGCATATTATTAATTAAAATATTAAAACCAAAAATTATTATTTAAATAATTTTTAAAGAAAATATTTGAATTATAGTTATAGTTTCAAATATTTTATAATTTTAATAAAAAAAGCACGTTAGTAAAACATATTTTATGTAATATAGATAATATAGTTAAAATTATATTTTTAGTTTGAAATTTTTAAATAATTAAAATAAAAATATTTTTAAAAAATTATATGCCATTTTAATAAAACAATAATTCATGTCATATTTTATTATTCTATATTAAATACAAATTATATAATATAATAATATTATTTGATTTGTTATCATGATGTGCATTAAATAATTGGTAGATTAAAGTTTATCATACTCTTATCATATATCTTACTCATATCATATCGTTCTCTTACATTATATTATATCTTGTCCTGACCACCAAACGGACCCTCAAGGTAAAGGGTATACCCTCAAGATAAAGGGTATAGAAATCAATGATGAAGTTAAAAGTCACTTAAGATAATTTCAAATAGTTAAAGGGGAGATCAAAGAGTCTTACATTGAGTAATAAGAAACTTATCTGATATTCAATCTTGAGATCCTTTATATGTTAAACTAATTTTTTGAGTTAGACTCTCCTCATGTTTTGAAGTCCTAATAAAAGTAAAGAAGATAATTTCAATAAGTTATCGGAGAGATTAAGGAAGAGAAGAGAAGAGAAGATGGAGAATTTTTCATTATAGAAATAAATATATCAACAAAATTTATATCTAAAAGATTTAGCTTTGCAAATGAAACTCTTGTAGTTTAGAGTCAAAATTAAAATTAGCTTAAAATATTGATGATGTTAGAATATTTTAAGAGAAATCTAACAGATGAATATTTTGAATTAAAAGAGATAATAAAGTAAATATTATATTATTATACAATAAAAGAAGGAGTAGAGCACAAAATATAGTAATAAAATAAGGAGTCGTTATAACTTTGTTGATATGGAATAATCTTAAATTAAGAGGAGTGTCAATATGCAAGAGAGAACTAAGAATGAGATTTTGTTTATCTTGTGAAGTTTAACAAGTTGGATGACAACATTTATATTAATAATTGTATTGATGAATAGACTCTCGGTCTCTTAAATATCCTTCACTTCTTCAAGACCAATAAGTATCCGAAAGTCTCAAGAATGCAGTTTGTAAAGTTATAAATTAAGATTTCACTTATACTATTAATAAAGATAATGTTACTTTTAGTAACCATCTTTTATAAATTAGTGGATGAGAGCCATTATGTATCTCTATTATTTAAAAAATAAATAAAAATATGATTATTAATTAGTTAGAGATTTGTGAAAGTAAAATAAACAAATAATAAGAAAGATTAATTTAAAAAAATTTATTAGACAATTTTTTTCGAAACATTATGTGCACTAAATCAAGTTATCATATTTATATATGTTATGGATCATAGATTATAGATATTTAATTATACTCTAGCCTGTTTTTTTATTTATTCTTTCATTTTTTTTTGATGAAAATCAACCACTATTTATGATTAATATTAATCACATTAATAATTATATATAATTATACTTATTTAATTTTGGAGTTGGGAAAAATAGATGATAGTTCCCACTCTTTGAGATGCCTCCAATGTAGTGAAGAGATTAGTCATTATTATCAGCGGTGGATACTTCAGGGACGAACCAAAATTGATTATACTATAGAATAGCTTAGAACTTTACCGTAATTCTTTTATTACCATTAGAATATTAATTAGATATGCCGCATTAAATAGGCGAAGCATTTACCATTAATTAAAATTGTTCTCTAAATTGTTCATGATTTTTTTTATAAGTAAAAGTCTATAACATTTATAAAATTCAATAGTTCTAGCCTCATCATAGTAGAAACCAACCTTCAGCCTATTATATTCTTTTTCTTTTTTCTTTATAGGCATAATGTCGTACTTTTAAATAAGTTATATGCCAAATGCATTTGAAATTAAATAATTAAAAAAGCAACAAATTTAGAATAAAAGTTGTTTATAAGACAAACGTTTAATCATTATATATCAAGATGACGTCGGGATTAAGTTCGAGACATGTTTTTTTATCCCTACTACTATTTGCGTATAAAAGAAATCTATCATCCCTTACTTGAATTTGGTCTAATTAGTTTTTTTTTTCCTCACTCAAGTGTCATGGATTGGTTTATTTATAGATGATTATCGTTCATAACTTTTAATCCATTTTATGGATTAGAAAATTAAGCACATAAGTTTTAAGTTTTTATCAAAAGAGAAAAAAAAACATTTAAAAGACTTTAAATCATTGATCTTTGTTCAATTTGTTGATTAGAAAATTAGCAAACTAATTGTGAAAAAAAAATAAAGCTAGTTCAAATATATTATATTATCAATCTTCCTAATTCAATTATTTTGTAGATTAAAAAATCAACACACTAATGGTTCCTACAAATTAAAAATGGATCTTGTTCAAAGTTTTTAAGTCATTGATCTTCGTGATCCAATCCATTCATGGGTTAAAAAATTAGTTACACGAATTACATGAAAAGATGAGAAATGAAACTAGTCCAAAGACTTTAAGTTATTGATCTTCTTAGTCTAATCTATTTTATGAGTTAAAAAATGGACACATTAATCATATGAAAAAAGTAAAAATGAAGCTAGTTCAAAGATCTTAAGTACCTCATTGATCTTCTTAATCTAATTCATTTTATAGGTTAAAAAATTAAGCACACCAATCACATGAAAAGAGAAAAAATTAAACTAGTCTAACTACTTTAAGTTAATGACCTTCCTATCCTAAAACATTTTATGGACTAAAAAATTACCACGCCTATTACACACAAAAAAATGAAATTAATCTAAAGACTTTAAAATTTATCTTTCTAAGCCTAATCCATTAGCAAATTAAATGAATTACTGACACTAAAAGAATGAATATTTGTTGTTTATTGGTTGATGACTGGGGTAGTCAATTGAATTATTTGGATTTTACATTTTGTCCAATAACATACCCAATGGTTCTTTGGAGGGAAAAGTTTAAATTTCGAAATATGGGCAAAACGATTCAGAAACACTCAGTATTATATCTTAAAAACGTGGGAAGTGAGTAATTATCGTACGCTAGTGTTGCCTATGTAGTTTAAATGGTAGAAACATATAGTACAAGACCTTGATCACTCAATCCAATCGATTTATCTTTTTAGTTTTACAGTTCATTACTTTATTTACAACTTTCTTTATCGCTTTTCTTTATTTTTGACAAGCATTTTATAACATTATTTTACCACACTTTCCTTAGTCGTAGTGTAGTATAGCAACCTAAGTTTATGATTACTAGGAAACACTTTAGAATAGACTAAAAATTCAATTGAGATACAAAATCCTTTACTCATGCCAATCACTTGTGTGGGAATCAACTGTTGGTGTCAAGCCAATTCAATGGGTAATCCTTTACAACAATGGTAGTTACTTCTACATCCTCTTAATTTTAGAGCCCAATACCACATCTTCCATATTCAAGAACTAAAATGACTATTTACTTGTCAAAATATATATAATACTTCACCTAAGTTTCATACAGGGAACAAACTCGTGATTTCTGCAGCATCACCCAAAACATATAATCTACAATGTTTCTTTTTCAACTATAACAAAGTGAAATAGCATTAAAACCAAACAAGTAGTAATTAGAGTCAAACTTTGCTGGGGTTAACAGCAGTCTATACATTATAATTCTCCTTATTACATTTGAAAACTGCAGCAATGACTCACTTGAGTTTAATTCACATTGTGCTATTGCTATGTCAAAACTTTCTAAATGGAAAATCAAACCATGTCCAAGGACTTGGGTTAAGATCCTTAGTGGCATGGATGTGAACATCTCTGCAGCAATTGGTGGCTACTAAGAATACAGGTCCAAGCTTCATGAAAATACTCCATATGGAAGAAGCGCAGCAGCCACAACTCGACCTTCTTCATTCAGTATGTTGTAAGTTGATGCTGCATTCCTCTAAGAAAATAGTAAAAACAATTTAATTAGAATATAGTTGGTATAAAAGTCACCCAGTTATGAAATGTCATGTATGGTAAAATAATTTATTTCTATAATAATCACTTTATCAGTCATAACTAGAGTGATTCCTAATTGATTGATAATGTAATTCTTTTACGATGACAGTGTATCAAAATTAAATTCTAATTAAAACAATAAATAAATCATGTAACATTTAAAATTCAAAGAGCACTTAAACTAGTAATTTTGGTTGGCTTTTTATTACACTATTTGTAATTATCTTTATGAGCATAATACCATAGATCAGTTTTAAGCTTCTTTATTACATTATTTGTAATTATCTTTATTACATTATTTGTAATTAAACTTTTTCCTAATCATTTTTACTATCATGCTTTAATTCTCCCGTCATCCGTATTTGTCATCCGTTTTGCACTAAAATTTTCTCACCATTTGGCATCACCTTTCAAACAAATTTCAGTTCTGGTATATCTTAATGTGAACCAAAAATAAGTAAACGGACCTCTGAACCAGATAGAGAAGAGTAATAACAATGAACAAACAGGGATAATGAATTTTGTGGATGGAACCAGTAGAACAAAACTCTGAAGATACCTAAAATGAAATTCACCAAATGATACAGATTTGCAGACAGGTATGCTGAAACAACTCCTAAAACCATGTTAACTTGCCTCTTATACTGTAACAAATGTCCCAAAGCATTTTCTCCTACAATTAGAGTCTGTTTGAGTAAACTTCTCCAAAAACAATTCTAGGAGAGAAAAATAGCAAAGAAAAATAAAATAAACTTTTCTATAAGCTAATTTATATAAGCTCTCTCTTATTAGTTTCTCCAAAATCTTATTTTCAATACATGTATAAGCTAGTTTTAAATTATGGAGAAACTTACTTTGATTTTCAATTCCTATGTTTCTCTCCTAAAATACTTTTGGAGAAGCTTATCCAAACAGACCCTTAATTAGCATTGATTTCGCATCAAATCATGTTATTTATAAATTGTTTTTTAAAAAAACAACAGTAAATACCTATTTTTTAAAAGTTCTCATTATGATTGCAAGCTTTGGAGAGAATGAGAAGGGCTAAACATAAAAGCATTGAATCTGAAGGGTATGAATAACAAGCAGCACTCCATAGTTTGGCTATAAAGTTAAAAGACCAATATAGCTCATGTATTATATTCCAACAAGGAAAAAGGCAAAATGAATCAATTCAAAATTGATAATCTATAACACCATATAAAGTTATAACAGAGACATCTTTTTCCCTTAGTGAAAAAATAAAATAAGAAAGGCACACACTTGTCCATACACCCCGTCCCCCACAAAAGATGCAACCTAAAAAGATCAGGTGAAAATAATTTTGGGATATAGGGAGGAAAGATGGGCCTCAAGTTCCCACCATCTTCTTCAAGTCCTTTTCCCTTCAAAATCTTAGAGACAAGTTTAATAATTCTCATGTCCCCTTTGTACTGACAACCTAAGGATCAATCTGATAGTTTACTTAGATTACTTAATAAAACATAATAATGAGTACCAACAACGTAAGATGAACTAATGAAGTCAAGTTTGGATCTCATAAATTAAATCAATCATATATACCGAGTCAACAGCCTCTAACTTAATGCCAGTAGACCGAATAAACCGTCTAACTTCAGGATCTACAAACTGAATGTTCCTTCCACAGCCAAGAATCAAAATCTCTGGCAAAGAATAAATCAAAGTGGCATTTAATATATAAGATTAAAAGCAATTGGATAATTAAGCATAGCATTCAATTTAGTAACATAATAAAAAAAAAGGCAATGCCTGGAAATTAACACAGTAATTAACTGTACAGGGAACAATATATCAAAGAGATTAGGGGTGAGCATTAAACCGACACCCGAACCGAACCCGAAAAACCCAAAAAAAAATATTGCTTTTCGGTGGGTTCGGGCGGGTCTTATGGGTAAATCGGGTTAAAATTTTGATTTTATACGGGTTATATTGGGCGGGTTCGGTTTTGAATTTTTAAATCCGCTAAAAATCGAACCCAACCGAAAATGAGATAAGTTTAAATTTTTATTACTTTTGTATAACTAAACAACAATGGTCCAAATTTAAAAGTCTTTATTTCAAGTATAATATAGCCATCAATTTGTAACTTATTTTTTTCCTTTTTCTCATAACTTAGATATTTATTTTGTCTTCTCCTTCCTCATTCAACTTCTCAACACACTAGTCCATTTTTAGAGTTATCTTTTTGCTTCTTTCTTTGTCTTTCTTTTCCATCTTCTTATCTCCATTTTGAGTACATTTTGTGTGACTGTGATTTCTTATGGTTTTGTAATCTAACTTTATATTTCTTTTCCATGTAACAACTATGAATTTTGTTATCTTTTATTTTTGCTTCTTTAGTTTGTAAATGTTTCAACTACGAATCTATTTACACCATCTATTGTCACCTTCATTCTATTTTTATACACTATTTTAAAAATATTTTTTATCGTTTTAAGCTTCATCTTCGTTAAGATAAATTGGTCTACAAAAAAATTCAAACCCGATTATACCCACCCGCTTAAATCCGAATCCGTTTCAACCCGAACCGCCTCAAATCGAAAGCTCAGTCGGTCGGATATGGGTCACATTTTTTCAAAGTCGGTTTACAACGGGTTGGACATTTTTCACCCGAACCCGACCAAACCCACCCGTTGCTCACCCCTAAAAGAGATCAACTGAGAGAAAAAGAGAAAGAACAGTAGAAAAGATAATTAGATAATAAGTAGCAAGCAAAATGATATTACTTCACTTAATTTGCATAATTGTAAAAGTGGGATATGTATCTGCTTTAAGGTCCTAACTAAAGCAGTACAGGGACCACCACTCTTCAATATATCAACCACTTCCAAAGTGAATTAGAAAGTAGCATGAATTTGGTAATACTTCATCCATAGAATAATCGATCATGAACTATCCCTGCCTAATGCCAAATAGGAGAGATAAAAGGAAAACTAGAACTGTACCAAAAAATAGGGAAAAAAATAGAAAGTCAAGGAGAAAAAAGAATGTCAAAACTAAAAAACCAACCTGGAATAGGGCGAACAATTTGGAAGAGTGACAAGCTGCAACAAGGAACAAGATGACAATAAGATAAAGCAAGACTAATTAATGCCTATTCTCCTAAAACAAGCAGAGATGGAACTAGAATATTATAATGCATTCACTTATTGTTTCTTCTTTTCCTGTTTCATAACATAACTATCACACATATGATGCACATATCCTTTATATTGAAGGGGAAAATTAATCAGATAATTCATTATCAATTATCAGAGGTTATCACCCATTTCTTGTATTCTCAATTCTGAGGACATAGAAAATAAAAGACTCAAGTATAATAAACACATTGTAGGCACTCTCCATCCAGAAAGGAATTTAAGTATTTTAAAATTTTAGGAAAGAGGTAGTAGTAATGAAAAGATTAAAGAAAAGGAACTTGCAAGAGAAAAGCAAGCAAAACAAGTGGGTGAATAAGATCTCCTCCAAAACAGATTAAATAGGACATAATAAAAAAACCACAGATAAAAAGGAAGTGCATGCAGCTCATGTGCAAGCCACCATTTGCTTATGTCTTGACATGCCAAAACATGAGAGAGCATGTCACGTCATGTCACTTGGTGTTGAATAGATTTTGACACAAGTTCTTGCGTGCCAAGTTCTTCATTCATTCCTGATTTGAGCAGTTATACACAAGCTATCCTATGTGTATGCTAATTTTGCCTTTGGTGTTTGCTTGGTTGTCAAGTTCAGATCTGAAAGTTGTTTTTTTCCTATGAAACACTAACTCCAACATCGACACAGACCCAGCTAATGTCCAAAATGTAGGACATGGGGACACGGCATATATATATATATACAAGCTGGCAATTTTTATATGATAATGACTCTTAGAAAATGAATTATATCTCTTAAAAGATAAAACGAGTAATTCTTATGGAAATGAGTCTCACAATAGATAAAAATGTTATGAGCCTTGCAATATTTATAAATAAGTTGAATTTTAAATTTTTTCATAATAGGAGTGTTAGATAAGTGTTTAACTAAGGGCGGGTCTAGACTCACTACCTTGGCTTGTGTCCAAGTTGTGCCGAAACATGTTAAAGTTGTGTGGAAGAGGTGTTTGAACCATTTTTTTTTTTTTTTAATTGAAACACATTGGAGAGTTGTTGAACGCATGTTAAAGCGTGTCTGACAAGTATCATGTCCAAAACATGCTGACATGGTGTTATGTAGATGTGTCGGTGCTTCATAGTTTTTTGCTTCATTTACGTGTGTTCCACACAAGTGGCTATGTTTTGGCTGATAGCTATTGATGATTTGGTTGTTTCTTTATACACAGTAGTATTTCACAGTTCTTCCTTTGATTAGGAGAAGTGTTCGGGATGAAGCTCACATTATTTTCCCTCTAAGGTGTAGTAGCAAGGTCAAATGCTTCTGTGACCTATCTGCTTAATATACCACTTTGACTTTGTTACAGTAGGAGAGTGGCAGTTGCCTAAGTTCTCAGAAGGGTTATTACTTTTTGGTTTATATTCTTTGTTGCTTTATTTTCTGCTGATAGATAATGTTAAGGGTGTTCAAATATATTCAGAAATAATATTATTATGGTTTAATGCAAGTTAAATTGCTCCTTTTTCCTATTTTTCTTCAAGCATCAAAAGTAAATCCGAAACGTCGGACTTGGATTACTAACTCGATTCTTTCTTCAACTTCAGATATCATATAAGAGATCGATTTCAGGAAAAACACTAACTACACAAAAAATACAAAATTATACTAGTTTCATTAAAGACATGAATTGAGAAGTTAAAAGGAACAGGACAATGCAACGATGCTTATTAAAAGAGAAACAGTATTAACGAAAGATAGGGAGGAGAAACAAGGGGCATAGAACAAACAAACCTATCAGAAGTGATCTCTGAAAACTTCTTAGGTTTCCAAGACATGAGCAAATTTCCAACGCAAAGCAAACTTCCTTCATATTCAACCCCATTTACAGTAAACCCCGTATCATTATACCTAAACAAATACAAACCAAAAGAAAATATTTTACAACCAAGTCAAGTCCATGCAGAAATCATATGCTATAAGCTCATTTCACCACCAAGTCCACTACGTGAACCCCACATTGAAAAAATGAAAATTTAAAACACCCCACTTCCCAGAATGAAAGGAAAAAGCCCCCCCCCCCCCCCCCCCCCCCAAAAAAAAGCAGAAAGGAAGAGAGAAATTGCAATCAAGTCAAGTCCCAGCACCAATTATATGCTATAATATAACATATCATGATGCTATTTAAGACTATTCTAGAAAACCCATTTCACATTCAACTCTCTTGCATGAACCCCATGTTAAAAAACTTAAAATTCAAAATACCCCATTTTCCATAATGAAAAGAAAATCCCAAAAAAGCATAAAGGAACCTAGTTAATCAAATCTTTGCTCCAACATTACACATCATGATGTTAAGACAATCCTAGAAAACAAACCCATTTTACATTCAACTCTCTTCCTTGAACCCCATGTTAAAAAATTAATTTTTTTTCTTCTTAAAAGATGGATTGGAAGGGGTACCCTTGAAATCGGAGCTGGTCCTCGGGGACTTGATCGATGAGGTTGATCTGATCGTAGAGAGAGAAAGAGCGT